GCCTTCTTTGATGTAAGCAAAGGGAAGGCTTCTCACTGCTTGGACCACATATTGGCTATCTGGGAAGATATTAACCGGGGACTTATGACAGAATTCAAAGACCTTCAATAGGACTAAAAGCTCACCCAATTGCACTGAGCCAGGGTTATTGTGGTCATAATGGATGTCCTCCATACCTGGGGATTGGATAATGACTCCATATTGGTGGCTGTTAGAATCAGAAAATGCGGTAGTGGCCTCGGGTATTGGCATAGAGCTAGGACAGTTAACCACTCAGAAGCAAGAGGACATAGAGGAGTGTTTAGGACCAAGATGTCTTGTGCTTAGTGGGGAACTTCCATGGTTCGTTAGGCCATGGCCATATGCCCACACAGTGTCTCTGGACTCCGGGTGTCTATCTGGAGTACACCCATTGGTTCTGCCTCCTGGGTGGTCAGCCCTTATGTGGAGGCACTGGGCGAACCGAACAGGAAGGTATGTGCCTCCCTATCAAGGACAAACGAACAGATGAACGATCACAAACACATGGAAGGGGCCCTACTCACGGAAAAAGAGCCGAAGGGGACCAAGACCAGTCGACAGAGAAAACAGAGAAATCAACTCAGGACCTGTGGAGGCAATGGCGGTAGAAAAGCACAAAAATCATGCCTCAGAAAATGACAGAGGCAAGCACCATGATGACCAGTATCCAAGCGAGATCCATGAAGGCCACGTTGGGCGCCAGATGTTGTTGTTGCTTGCCTTAGTGGGCTAGCTACAGGGAGACTCACTCGGCAGTAAGCAAGCAAGCTCGTTTATTGTGCCGTTAGGGCTTTCTTTTACACCCCCACCCGATCCTCATTGGTTCATTTGGCTATGTGTCTCCTCTTCATTGGTGTGGCATGCTGTCCTCTGTTTGCGTCATTTGATATTGTGCTTTATGGCAGGTTTTAGGTCAGCCTGAATAACAGAAGTATTTACCGGCCCATTTCCCCACAGCTGGGGGCTGGAGAGATGGCTCAGTGGTTAAAAGCACTGGCTGCTCTTACAGGGGACCTGGGTTTGAATCCCAGCACCCACATGGCAGCTAACAACCCATCTGAATACCAGTTCCAGGGGATCCAACACCATCTTCTGACCTGCACAGGCATTTTATGCACATGATGCATTTATATATATGCAGGCAAGATACACATACACATAAAATAAATCAAGAAAAAAATTTAAGACTTTAAAAAAAATTAGCTTAAAATGCATTGCAGATTTAACTGTAAAATCTTAAAACTTTTAGAAGAAACATAAAGAGGATAGTCTCTTGACATCATATTTGGCAATGATTTCTTTGTGAAAGATTTATGTAATTTTATATCTACGTGTGTGTGTGTCTGAGTATATGTATAAGTACCATATGCATGCAGATGCCTGCAGAGGCCAGAAGAGGGTGTCAGATCTCTTGGAAGAGGAGTTATACGTCATTGTGAACCCCCACCCCTACCCCGTGTGGGTACTGAGAACCAAACTGGGGTCCTCTAGAAGAAAAGCAAGTGCTTTTAACTGCTGAGTTGTGCCTCTCCAGATCCTTGGCAATGAGTTCTTGGATATGACATCAAAAGCACAATCAACAAGAAAAACAGATAAATCATACTGCATCAAAACTAAAGCTGTTAGCACTGGAATGTGGCTCTGTGGTATAGCACATGATGAACACGTATAAGGCTCTGGGTTTAATTACCAGCGCTAGCAACAACTACAGTGAAAACAATAACAGAACTGTTTGTGCATCAAAGGACCTTATCAACAGTGAAAAGCAAGCCATTTGTAGCATCCACAATGCAGCTGTGCCAGGGCAGTAGAGGAAAATGCCTGGAAGCCATGTGTGAGATGTAAGGATTGTTGAAACTTATTAATTGTGACCAGACAAAGCAAATAGGCAGCATCCAGTGGGCAGGGGCTGGACAGAAAACTATCCCAGAGTTCCAGCAGCACCTACCTCCACAAGCTGCAAAAGTCCAGTGGTATCTAGCTGACCAAAGGTATGCACTCACGGGGTGTTTTACCACCTTGAGGAAGGTCTGATGTCTTGATAGTGCTTTGTTTTACACTGCTTACCACAGGCACAGGATTTCTATATGTTAGACTACTTAAGTGATGGCATCACTAGCCCAACACTTCAAGGAATAGCTGACTTAGTGTACATGCAGAAAGCAGGCTGTCTTCTAGATAACACTGTTCTGCCCAATTCCTGTGCTCCTGAGAGGGAGTCAGTAGTCCTTCAGACAGTCCTTATGGAGATTCTCTGGTCTTTCTCAGTCTACTTTCACTGAGCTGGCAAGAGACTTGGGAATAAAAAGTATATTTCAGGGGCATGCTAATACTCTGTTTTCCTGTAGGATCATACTCCATTGAATGTACAACAATATTTTCCAAAATACAAATCTGCGTACAGAATTGTACGGGGCTGGGGATGTACTTCTGTTGGTAGAGTGACTGCCAAGCACACAGGAAGCCTGGGTTCAATCCCCAGCACTTCATAAACTGGTCATGTGGCATATACCTATAATCCCAGCACAGAGGCTATGGAGACAAGAGGATCAGAAGCTCAAGGTCATCCTCAGCTACACAATGAATTTGAGGCCAACCTAGGCTATGTGAAACCCTGTCAGAGAGAGAGAGAGAGAAATAGAGAGAGAGCAAGAGACAGAGACAGAGAGAAGGGGAGAAGGAAAGGAAGAAAGGTTCACAAGAGGGGGCTCAGTGGGTAAAGGTGCTTGCAAGCCTAATGACTCCAGTTCTATTCCCAGGACTCACCTGGTAGAAAGGGAGAACCAACTCCAAAAGTTGTCTCTGACCTCCACAAACATGTCATGACACACACAAAAAATAAATAATAAATTAAATAAATAAATAAATAAATAAATATTTTAAAAGTTTAAAGAAATATCTACAAGAGGCCGGGTGTGGTGGTACATACCTTTAATCCCAGCACTTGGGAGTCAGAGGCAGGCAGATCTCTCTGAGTTCAAGGTCAGTCTGGCCTACATTGTGAGTCCCAGGACAACCAGGTCTACATAGTGAGACTCTGTCTCAAACAAAACAAAAAAGAACTGTCTATAAGAAGACACATAAATGGTCAATAAGCTCATAAAATGATGTTCAATGTTTCTATAGGGAAGTGCAAGTAAACAGACAATGAGATACCCTTTGTCACTCCTTAAAGTGGCAGTCCTTTACATCAAGCAGCAGAAGGCTGCCCTTGCAGAGGATTTGGGTTTGTTCCCAGCACCCACATGGAAACTAACATCCATCAGTAACTCCAGTTCCAGGAGACTTGATGCCCTCTTTTGGCTACTGTGAGCATTGCACAACACCATGTACTTACATGCAAGTAGGCAAAACACTCATATACATAAAATAAAAATAAATACAGAAAAGAAGCCTTGAGGAAGATGTGCTGACTTTGTATATTGAGGTGACAATGGTGCTGCCATTTAGAAGAAAATGTAGTTATTCTTCAAAAACTTGACTTGGAACTATCATATGAGCCACCAATTTCGTTCCGGGCATAGCCAAAAGATGCAAAGGCAAGGACTTCAATATTCAAGGGTATTTGTACATCCTTGCTCAAACAGCATTATTCATAAGCGACAAAAGCAAAAACAGATCAAGGGTCTGTGACCGATGAATGGGTAAACTAAAGGCAAATGCACTTAGAATGAAATGGTGTTCAGCTTTTAAAAGGAAGGGACTTGTGACATACTGGATCTTGAAGGTATTAGGTCAACTGAAACAAGCCAGTCAGGAAAGGACAAATGTGAGGTGCTTATAATGATCAAACTCATAAAATGGAGAACACAGTGTTGGTTGCCAGGGGCTAGGAAAGAAGAAAATGGAGAGTCATTGTTTTTGTTTATGAGCTTTTTGATTTTTATTTTTGGTGGGGGTGGGTTTTTGTTTGGGGGAGATATGTCTTTTGGTTTGTTGCCACCATGGTTGTTTTTGAGACAGGACTTGACTAAGTCAACCCAGGAACTCATTACGTGGCTCAGACTGGCCTCAAACTCTGTTTTCCAGCCTGGTCTCCCAAGTGCCCTGTCAATTCCATGTCAAGTGGGAGCCATTGTTTAATGACTTCAGAATTTCATTTTCAGAAAATAAGAAAAGTTCTGGAAATGAATGGTGATGAATATACTTAATACTACTAAACTGTATGCTTAAATGGTTGAAATGATAGCTAATGTATGTCATGTGCATTTATATGATGTATATTTTACTGCAATTGAAAAACTGTGTGTGTGTGTGTGTGTGTGTGTGTGTGTGCGCGCGCGTGCGCGCGTGCGTGTCCGTGTGTAAAGTAAGACTGGCCTGATGCTTCCAGGAGATGTGTGAGGATTAAATATCTCTTCTATATAATGTGCAGGTCACACCCGATGGGGGAACCAAACTAATTCTCTTTCCCCTCCCTTTCCCAAACGTCTAGCTTACATATATATATACATGCATATATATTACATCTTGATTATATTTCATTTATTGAACAGGAAAATTCTGCAACAGTTTGACGATGATGATGATTTGTAAATAACAGCTATGCATTCCTATTACTGTTGCTATATTCTGCGTTTAAACACATACAAGTGCACCCCATACTGAGAAAAGAACAGAAAGAAATGAAGACTAGAAAAGTAAGAGGCCGCCCTAGTGCCCCCACGTAGGTGTCAGGGTTTTCTCCCTCCGGGATTCGAGCTAGCATTCGAGCTGTTCACGCGCCGCCGCAGTTTTCGTCGTAAATAAATGAAAAGCTGTGTCCCAGAGGTTTCTTGGCTTCTGAGATTCCAAATCCGAGTATCCTTAGGTCAGGTCTCACCGTGGGCTGCGAACTGCGAAGCTGTGCCCCGCCCTCGCTCCCACACCCCCCTTATCCTCCACCCCCTACCCCCGCCTCGCCGGCTCTGGACTCCTCTCCCCTTCCTTCCCACCCCCGCTCATTCCTCCTTTTCTGTGAGGAGATCACTCAGCCACAGAGCAGAAGGAGCCCCACCGTCTTCCAGAGGAATCTCTGCCCCAGAGGGGTGATGTGCCCCCGGCCCCTCCCGCTGCTACCCCGGGACTGGGGGCGCCCGGGCTCCGCGAGGTGCCCACTCCGCGCCCAAACAGCCTCTGCACTGTTCCTGCAGGCAGCGGGTGCCAGGCAAGCCGCGCCCAGGTGCCCAGAGTGCCAGGGTCGCCTCGGATGACTCCCGGGACTGCCTCGGGCTGGAGGACTGCTCACCGGGCCCGCCCCGCCGCCCCGCCCCGCCCGGCCCTGCAGTCTCTGGCCCCGGCGCCCTCCCGGCTCGCAGCCGCTCCTGGCTCCACGCGCCGGCCGCAGCCATGGGTCCCCGCGCCGAGTCCTCACCCAGGTGGCGGCTGCTCCCGCTCAGCCCGCCGCCGCTGCTGCTGCTGCTGCTGTGGCCCAAAGCTGGCGCCTGGGAGCTCACGATCCTGCACACCAACGACGTGCACAGCCGGCTGGAGCAGACCAGCGAGGACTCCACCAAGTGCTTGAACGCCAGCCTCTGCGTGGGCGGCGTGGCACGGCTCTTCACCAAGGTGCAGCAGATCCGCCGCGAGGAATCCAACGTGCTGCTGCTGGACGCCGGCGACCAGTACCAGGGCACCATCTGGTTCACTGTGTACAAAGGCCTGGAGGTGGCACATTTCATGAACATCCTGCCCTACGATGCCATGGTAAGGCAAGGGCTCCCAGGAGAGCCGGGCCAGAGCTATAGATGCAGCGGTAGGCGCAAGCCTGAGTGTGCGGGCACAGCTAGATTCTGGCCAGAGTGGTTGCCGATGAGCGCCGCTTGGATGACGGTCTGAAGCTGATGGTCGTGTATGCTAAGGCGAGACCCCCCTCCGCCTACGCGGAACTTCAGCTGGGGTGCGTAGGCGCACTGAAAGTTATCGAGGGCTAGAGACGACGGAATTAGGTCTCCCACGCTTCTCTCATTTGCGGCTCACTTGCCCCTATTTTACTGAAAGGGAAACTGAAGGTCAAAGAATTGGATTGAGGGGTCTGACGGCTCAGTAGTTAAGAGCACTGCATTCTCCTGCAGAAGACCCTGGTCCGATTCCCAGTACCCACATGGTGGCTAACGTTGTCCGTAACTCCATTTCCAGAGGGTCTGACTTACTCTTCTGACGTCTGCAGGCGATGCATTACACAGATATACTCACATAGGCAATACACTCACGCACATTAAAAAAATAAAATAAAATAAAATTTTTAAAGAATTGTAGTGATTTATCCAGGTCACCAGCCCCCAAAGAGGAAAACAATCAGATCCGATTGACCCTGAAGCCTATACATAATAAACTCACAGCCCTGGATAGGCGCCCAGTGTGACTAATTTTCTGTGACCTTGAGCAAGTTATTGATTCTGCCTCAGTGTTATCATCTATAAAATGGGAAGAATAATAATATTTACTTCAAAGCATTGGTGGGGCTGGAGAAAGAATGCTCAGCAGCTAAGAGCACTTGCTGTTCTTGCAGAGGACTAGAGTTAGATTCCTAGTCCCTGGTACTGGGCAACTCACAATCCCCTGTAACTCCAGCTCCAGAGGATCCCATGCCCTATTCTGGCCTCTGCAGGTACTCACATGGTTATGTGCACACAAGCCAGGAGCGCACACACACACACACACACACACACACACACACACACACACACAAATAAATCTTTTAGAAAGCATTGTCAGAATGTAATATGATCTCTGTAACTGTTAGTTCTTATTACCAGACACTGCAGTATAGACTCAAAGAGAGATGTGTCAGTGAGAACCAGAGTTCAGTTAAGACCAATTTGACAGCAGAGATTCTGGAAGAAGCCAACTTAAGAGAGAAAGGAACTGCAGTTGTAGCTCAGTTGGTAGAGTGCTTGCCTCCTATGCACTAGACCCTGGATTTGATCTCCACCACCTCATCAAGCAGGGACATGCTGCAAGCTTGTAATCCAATGGTTGGTGGATCAGAGTTCAAGGTCTTCTTTGGCTATATAAGGACTTCAAGGCCAGCCTAGGCACTATGAGACCCTGTCTCAAAAGAAAAAAAAAGCCAGGGGGCGCCTTTGCTCCCCAATACTCTGTTAGAGATGGTGCCTTATTTGTTTGGATTAAATTCCAGAGTAGGAGAAAAGAGGGTTAAAGACTATTAAGTAAGTGTAACTGAGAAGTGTATTTAAATCAAACCTCCATCCAAGTTCAACCCTGTGCAGATATCTATAGTAAAAGTATTCAGCCAGATTGTAGAAAAAGTGAGAACAAAAAAGCTTAAGAGCTTTGGAAGGGAAAAGACAGCAAGGTTCCAGGAATCTGCAAAACCAGAAGAACGGAAAAGGTGAGGTCAGTGCTGGGAGGCCGGAGGCTGACAGTGCGATTTGTACAAGAACGGCTCAGAGGTCAGGGAAGGGAAGAGAGTTCCTTCCGTTGGAACACTGTTTTGGAGATTTTCAAAGCAGCCCCAATTCAAACAGGTCCTGAATCCTCAGAGTTCATGGAGGAAGGCAGAGCTCTTCAGTATCTGACAGAAGACTCATGGGTCTCAAGAGCTCTGCTGTCTCTTCACCTTTTACCACAGCTAGACCTGTTGGAAGTTTTGAAAGCAGAAATGGCAATATAAACATTTATGTAATTGAATTGTTAGCTAGCTGAAGTCCTCACTCCCTCCTAGAAGGGTAGGATAAACCTTGTATGAGTTTGTTTTGATTTCATGCGTAAACTGAAACTTTGCAGCATTTTGTTTTTGTAACACCCTTTTCTTATCAGTTGTGCAAACTTCTCTTGTATATATATATATGGAGAGAGATAGAGAGTTTTCCTTACTAAAAATATGTCCCTCTTTGGGACAAAATGAGCTCATGCTCTAGCTGGGTGGGGCTGCAAGTTGCACCCCATCTCCTCCTTGAATGTTTAGAATACTTCTTGTGGGGTGGGATGGAATTACTTTTTTACAAATTTAACTTAAAGTAACTAACTGGACTGGGGCCTGAGGAAGAATAAGCTACCTTGGCCAGAGTCAGTGGAGGAGAAGGAATGCCAGGGTCTGTGGCACCGCCTCAGAACTTCTTCCTGGGCTGAATTTGGGGTGAGTTGAACTCATGATTTGACCTGCCTGAAACCCTGGTCCTTATAGCACTATGGCATGTGCTCTGAGGTCCTTCTGTCATACAGAGCATTTCCACTGTCTTTTTGCTTGTTATACCAAGCCTTGGGGGAATTTATTGCTGTTCTGTTATGTTCCTCTATCACAGCCACCTGCTGTGATTTGATTCTGAGATGCTGGAGATTCAGATAGTTGATAGCTGCATTGAACAGCTATCTGAACAGCTATAGAGGGGCATCTCCAGTTTGCTGAAGATGAATGGAACCTGGCTTAGAAGAGCAGCATCTAGATCTGTTAGTAGCTTAGCCTTGGGAGTTAGAATAGGAGCTGAAGAGGTGGTTGGTACTTTCTAGACATGCCACACCCCTAACCTCCCATAGCTATGGAGGACTAAGGTGAGCTTGAAGACCCCTTGGGCCCTGTTGCTAGGCAGGAAACAAACCAGGAGGGTAGCAGAAGCCTCCAGCTGGTATACTTATCCCACTGGAAAGACTGGTGTCCCCTGAGGCATGAGGGGAAAGGTGACCAAGCTATTATACAAGAGATACTCAGAAGTCAGAGAGCAGAGTACTGTGCTTCTTTTCCACCTGGAAAATAGGAGGAAGGAGGACAGGAAGATGAAAAGATGGCACAGTTGTTTGGGGGTTTCTTCTTTTCTTCTTTTTGGCCTGATTATTCCTGAGTCTCACATTCTTAACTGTGAACAGACCATGGCTTACTGAGAAAATCCCTAGCCCTTCAAAGTGAGTGTTCACTGCAGGTTAGTTCCATTTATCTGGGAGGGGCCAGTGAGTGAGGAAGGGAACATTTCAGTTTGGCATCTGTCTGCTTATGTGGTTCTAAAAGTGTAGCAGACTACCACCAGGCTCCCTTCCACCATCTTTTCTAGGAGCTGTTGTCTAGCTTTTTTTTCCTTTTTAAGACAAGGTCTCAAATAGTCCAAGCTGGACTTGAACTTGCTATGTGGTAGAGGATGACCCTGAACTTCTGATCTGCCTCTACCTCCCACATGTTAGGTTGACAGATGTATGCAACCACACCCAGTTTATGTGGTACTGGGAATCTAACTCAGGGCCTGAAACTATTCTTTTCTTTTCGTTTCTTTTTTAACCATCACAAATAGGGCTTTTTCTTTGTCACTGTTAAACAAGCACCTGACAAAAGGCAGCAAGAAGGGAGCCAAGAAGAAGGTGGTGGGTCCATTTTCTAAGAAGGATGTGAAAGCTCCAGCTATGTTCAACATTAGAAATATTGGGAAAAACACCTGTGACAAGGACTCAAAGAACCAAAATTGTGCTGATAGCCTCAAAAATTGTGTGTTTGAAGTGAGCCTTGCTGGTCTATTCTTTTCTTTTTTAAGATAAGATCTCACTGTGTAGCTCTGGCTGGCCTGAAATTCTTTACATAGACCAGGCTGACATCGAACTCACATTGATCTGACTGACTGACATGCACCATCAAGCTCGGCCCCCTTAAACTATTCTTAATGGCATATGAATGACACTCTCCACAGCACAAAACGGAAGGGACTGATGGTGGAGGTGCAGTCTCACCATCAGGACAAGCTGTCAGGAACATAGCCTCCAGATTCTCCTCTTGGTCTCCTCCTCCTTCTGAGGCCACCAGCTGTCCAAACTTCCCAAATGCCTGAGCCAGCAGCCAGTCATCTGCTCATGCCTTGAACTCTTTCAGAGGACAGCTGGGTAGAATGGTCACTCCTGCAGAGGCCGGGATCTTAATGCGTTCCATTACACAGCTTTGCGTCTTTGCATGCTTATAGGCTTGTATTTGCGTGCTTTATGGGCTTATGTTTCTAAGTTGCCAGAGCAGTCCTGGTAGCTCATTGTTTTTCTCTGTTCCTCACCTTGTTTGTGTGATTCACCCACCTTGCTCCCTATGTGCTATGCCCCTACCCATCACAGTGCATTGTGCTCCATGGTGATTTCACAAGTTACCATCACTCTCTGGTAGGTTTAGAAATTACCTCCAAACATCTACTTCACACATTTGGCTGCTCCAGATTTCTCCTGCAAGTCTCACCGTGAGAATTCCCATACACAAGTGCAAAGTTGCTGGTCAGAGTGCGTATGTGTTCAGTACTTACTTTTTGACAAAGGAGATTCTTCTTCCCGAAGAATTAATACCCACTGTTCTCCCCACAGCCCACATTGAGGCAGAGAGTTAATCTCTGTATCTTTACCTATTCTTTTTTTTTTGAAGATATTCTTATTTGTGTGTGTGTGTGTGTGCATGTGCGTGTGCGTGTGCGTGTGTGTGTATGTGTGTATGCCACATGTCTACTTCTGCCTGTGGAAGCCAGAAAAGAGCATCAGATCCCCTGGAACTGTGATCTGCCAAACGGGTGCTGGGAACCGAACTCCCGTCTTCTGGAAGAACAGCAAGTGTTCTTAACCTCTAAGCTGTGTCTTTAGCCCCCATCTTTACTTACTCTTACTTTATCTAGCTTGTCAGTAGCTATAAAATGAAACCACATCATTTTAGCTTGTATTTTTCTAATAACTAGTCAGATTCAGGGTCTTTCTATGTAATTGATTATTTTTATTTTAGTGTATGCATGTACTGCCTA